TTATCACCCACCACAATAATGATCGCATTCCGGAGAGAAGCGTAGTAGGCGATAGATAGCTTGCCACTACAAGCTACGCGTCGTTCAACTAAAAAGAAAACACAAAGAAACGAGCGGGCAATGCATAGGAGGGCAAAAAAGAAAATTCCTGGCCAAGGCGCAGTTTGGTTTATTTTATAAAGGTCATGTGTGTGGGCCTAGTCCATTATCGTCTAATCAAGATTTTTATTTTTTAAAAAACATTTACGTCATTTCATTAATTATTTTTATTTTTCTAGTTGTACGTATACTTTAAATATATTAACTTGGTTTGTACCAAATTTTATCTTACATTTTATATAAATTAGATTGTTTACATGACAATTGTATAAAAACAAAAAACATTATTATTAACAACAACATTAATCTATTAAGATAAGATTAATAAAAACATTTTAAAAAAAGGGTGGTAGTGTAAGATATTTAGAAACACAATCTTAACATAATATATATATATATATATATATATATATATATGTGACTCTTCTATGAGAATTCCTTCTTTACAATTATAGCATTAACCCCTTTGACACTGTAGCTGATTTGTCACACTACAATGGTTAAATCAGTTAAGCCATTCTCCTAAATAATGACGGGATTGAAAGTTAACTTTTAGGCCAAACCCTCTTATCACCCTTCATAATAATGACTGGATTCCGGAGAGAATAATAGTAGGTGATAGATAGCTTGTCACTACAAGCTACCCGTTGTTCAATTAAAAAGAAAACAAAAAGAAAGGAGCGGGCAACGTATAGTAGGGCAAAAAAAAAAATTCCTGGCCAAGGCGCCGTTTGGTTTATTTTATAAAGGTCATGTGTGTGGACCTAGTCCATTATCGTCTAACCAAGATTTTTTAAAAAAAAAAAACATTTACCCCTTTTCATTAATTATTTTATTTAAATATTAATTATTTTTATTTTTTTAGTTGTACGTATACTTTAAATATATTAACTTGGTTTGTAGCAAATTTTGTCTTGCATTTTATATAAATTAGATTGTTTACATGACAATTGTATAAAAACAAAAATCTTTTGTTATTAACAACAGCATTAACCTGTTAAGATAACATTAATAAAAATATTTAAAATAAAAAGGATGGCAGTGTAAGATATTTAGAAACACAATCTTAACATAATAATTATTATTATTATCACTATAAAAATTAACTCAAAATCATATATCTTTGCAAAAGCAACTTGTTTATATTTCTAAATTAAGAAAAAAATGATATTCTTAAATGCATTTAGAATAATAACATATTATTTTATTATTGTCTTGAATACTTCTAATTTATGTCTCAATCTCTATATTTTTGATAATATATATATACATATATGTGACTCGTCTATGAAAATTCCTTCTTTCTTGAGATATAATTAACCAAACAGAGACACGATCTTAGATTATTTTTTACCTTTAAATTACATGTCTTAAAAAAACACGTAAAAATTAATCAATTGTATTATTTCATCAAATAGAGAAAGGAACACAAATTCTGTATGCACGATGCTCAACAATGGTAGAGTCCTCGTAAGACAATCCGCGACCAAAAACCGAGGACGACAAGGTGTAGCCCCGGGACGGATAAGCGTAGCCGAGCTCTCTTGGGCATTCTAAATCACTAGATATGTGTGTGTGTGTGTGTGTTCGATTACATGGGAGCGGGAGCAGGGGCAGAGGCTATGGATGCCGATTCGGAAGCAGAAGGTCCAGGGGTGGCACCGGAGCTCATAAGCTGAATCATGGACCGGTGAGGGTTGTAGCGTGCGGCATCACAGAGGTCAGGCAAAAAGGCGCCTGCGGGAGTCAAGAGACATTATTGAGAGACAAAATAGCCATTTGTGGGAATATTGATCACTGCTATAATAAAGTTGAAGTCAGTACACAATTTTTAGCCATGGTTGCCTTTACACAAGGGCGTATGATTCTTTGATGACTGGGAAAGGCAATTCTTTGATTCCAGGCGAAGTAAGCAACGTGGACTTTTAGATGGAAAGTTGTATCTAATATTTGTTTATATTTTATAATTTTAAAATATTTTGAAGTATTTTGCATTATTTTAAATAAAAATTCTAATTTTTTTTAAATTATTTTTATATTTTATAATTATCCCTTGACTCTGGTCTTGCAAGTATGAACGATATTGGAAGCATTCCAACAGGTGTGTCATGAAATTTTAAGGCAATAAAACAAGATATTGGAATCATTCAAACAAGACGGATTTACGAAGAAAACGTGGACTTTTAGATTTAAAAAAAAAAAAACCATGTTGTTGGCCTGTTATCTTATAGAATGTTTCGTATTGTGATAAGTTTTTAAAATATTGTTTTTTAGAAATATATTAAAATAATATTTTTATTTTTAAAAATTTATTTTTAATATCAATATATAAAAATAAAAAAATTATATTATATGTAAATAATTTTTTACTCGAATATATATAAAATAATTTTTTTATTTTTTAAATTTATTTTTAATATCATCACATCAAAATAATTCAGATACATTAAAAATTTAATTTAAAATAAATAAATAAATAAATTTTTAATTTTTTTAAAAAAATAAAAAATTACACATTACACAATCACAAAGATGCGGTTAAATTATTGATTTTTCTACAAATCTCTATGCTTATTGCTATCAAACCCCACCTAACATCTTCTCTTTTTTGTTCTTTTTTTCTTCTCACCAATTCAATTAAAAATATTTACCAAAATGAGAGGGAAAAAAAGGAAAGAAAAAGAAACATTCACCAATTTTACATTTCAGGACCCCCCCAACTAGAATTTTAGCACTATTCCCTTTATTTAATCATGAGCCAAAAATATTCCTTATAAAAAAAATATTGTCGAATTAAACACATGCATAGATTGTAAGGTCTTACCTTCCCCAGCAGCCAGATTGAAGTAAAGGTCAACAATGTTGGGGCAATTCTGGTAACAAGCAGGAGAGCAAAGCTTGGCGGTGAATTGAGGCTCAAGGAGTGCATCAGAAGAAATACCAACGGAGTTCCGGTCAACCCCACAAGCCTTGACACAAGCATCAGTCTCTATGTAATCTGCCATTTTCTCAACCACCACCTCGGATGTCCGGCACTGGTACTCAACGGCACCATTCTTCGTTGCATATGTCTCCAACAAGCACCTCTTGCCAGATGATGAGATGGTAAATGCACAAATGTCATTTGGCAATTCCTCGCATACAATTTCAGCTGCCAATTCAAAACAAAACCACCCGCTTTTAATAAAACTCATTAAAACAAATCCCTAACAAGAATACATGTTTGTGTGTGCGTGTGGGTACACGCTAACGTCTACGATATATATACACATATACATATACGTGCTGCATGATCTAATATATAATTACCTGAAGCTGCATGGAGGAGGAGAGAAGAGAGAAAGAGAACAAAGGAGAATTTGAATGAAGCCATTGACAAGACCAAAATGTTATCGTGCTAATTAAGCTTGAAAGATGGGATTCTTTCTTGGGATGATGATGATGATCTCTCAAAACCAAGATGGTTTTGTGAGGAGAGGGTGAATAAAGGAGGATATTTAGTGTTTTGCTAATGGTATGATTGTGGCTTATATAGAGAAACGCAAACCGGCATGGAGGTGCCTTCCTTGCTTGAAATATTTGCGTTTGTCTCTTAAAATGACGCGTAAACCTATATTTTTGGAACGCGTTAAATTGGCAGGTTACCAATGCTTTATTCTCTCCGTCGAGCCCATAAGAAGCTTAGCTCGCTTTTACTTTATTTATTTATTTTGCAATTTCTTTCTGTCTTTCCTTAATTTATTAGTCAATGTTGCTCTCAATTCTTGCTGGTCATGCGTCCAAATTCGTATGTGGAGACCTAGCAACGACGTGTTGGGGTGTATGCCTAATTAATTAATGGACTTGTACCCATGCAGAAAGCTTCTTGTAGTTTACCACGTCAAATTTTTCAATTTGTCTTGACCATCAATTCCGCAGGCTCTATGAACAATTGGGGTTGCACTAATTTAATTCATTTATTTATTTTATAATTAACTAACTAATGAAGGGTTACGTATACTGATGATGAGAAAAAACACGGCTTGCTCTCCTTTAACGTCAAATCACATATCACTATCTTTGATGAGCTTTTTTTGTGATCACGTATCATTATTCATTATTCATTTGACGTTTTCTTATTTCAAAAAAAAAATAATGTTTTTAAATTATTTTGATATTTTAGTATAAAAACAAAATTTAAAAATATTTTTTTATTCTAAAATATCTTAAAACATAACTTTTATTGCATCATGCGTCCCTTTTTATCTTTTATTTCTTTGAATGGTTAAAAACAAATTAACCGCAATTATTTATTGACTTAACATTTTGATAATTTGTTAATCCATAAAGATGTAACGTGCATGGCATGTCATCGTCGTTCTGTTTGTTTTTTTTACGCAGTAGATGGTATAAATTTTTTTATTATATTTATTTGTATAAAAAATAAAATATTTTTTTTATCTTGTGGTTCTTTAATATGAGTCAAATTTGATGGAATTTTTTTTTTAAAATAATATATAAAATGATAATTGTAAAAAAAATGAAATAATTTGTGAATAGTCGAGCTTAGTACTTTATAATATGTTAATTTTCAACTATTTTTTTAAGTTATTATTTTCATAAATTTGATAAATATATTTTTTTCCTTTCCAAGATATATATATATGTATAATAGATAGTTAAAGGAGAGATATGGAGATGATTTTTCAACCCATCCAGATCTCGCCTAGTGGACTCCATAATAATCAAGTTGATGGACTCTCTAACACTACGATTGAGAACTTATAAATAACCCTTAGTATTTTGCCCGTTAAATACTTAAAATCAATTCCAAGCACTCAAACTTCAGAATTCATAGTGATATTAGACCAACAAGTATATAATCGGACAACCCATCTAAATGAAAAATATGAAAGATTCACTATTAATTATGAAGAACTCCATTGAATGGTAATAAAGATGAGATCATAGATAGGTGGTGCATGTGCACCCTATAATCGGCCCCACAATCCTAGCAACAACCAGCATCCTCCTTCTCTTCCAACGTCGCCCCTATTTCAGATTTATTGTATCTGAACATATAATTATTTAAATGTATAATAAATATTTTATTTTTATATTATTTTAATTTATTTGAAGTATTTTTCTACTTTTGTTCAATATATATTTTTAAAAATATTTTTAATAAAGCACATAGGGTATTACATGTTACAACCCAATTTTGGCCTATTGGCTTTTTAATTTAATTTTATAGGGTTTAAAATATAAAATTAGAATATTAGAGATTTATTTCGATAAAAAGTATGATTTGTCAACTTACATGAAAACTAGGGACTATAATGTACTTTTATCATTTTATCCTTATCTTCAAGATAATGGTAGTTATTTGTTTTCAAATTTAATTCTTAATCAAATTCAAACTTAAAAAAAAAAACAGAGAATTAATTTGATTGAAACTTTGTTTCTCACATGCTAAGAAACTCTAACACTATAAATACAGACCTCAACATATGCAAAAAGAGGGAGGAAAAAAACTATAGAACGAATAAAACCAATTTTCCTAACAACGAGCACCTGCAACAATCTTCACTTAAAAAATTGGCAACAGCAGACCAACAATAGATAAGTCATTTCGTCCCCTTTTTTTCACTTTTAATTACCATTTTCCTATAGCAAGTATGCACGAGTAGCTCATACATGCTTGCAAACAAAAATATACCAATTGGGTTACTGGTCTGAACTAGTAACTGAACTAGTTTAGTTGGTAATAGCCCAACCCGCATGGCTGGGCTAAATCCAAACAAAAAAAAAAAGAGTAGGACAGGTCTAGGCTTTAGGTCTAACCTGCCAAATAGTGTTTGCTAAGGGTGTGTTTGGCAAAACACACCCTTATGCCTTAACCATAATTTTTATATCCATTCTAATTTGATATTTAAGCAAACAAACCCTTTTTCAATAACAAAAAATTCAAAAAATATTTGGGCTTTATTGATTTATTTGTGAGTCCCTTGTACTTTGTTTTACTTTTTCTTTGTGTTTGTATTTGTTTTTTGTAAATATGCTTAATTTGTGGACTGTTACTGTTAAATACAAATATGTCGTGTAATATTTTTTTTTTTACTTTCATCTAAAAAGGGCAAATAATAATAAAGGATAAGCAAGAAAAAAATGATGTAGAAATTTCTTTTTTAAATTTATTTTTTATAAAAATATTCACTAACATTAAAGTCAGAAGTATTGTACTTTTTGAATTTGTGCGATATTTACAAACATCAAAGTTGAAAATATTTGTAGAAATTGTTGACTAACACCAGAGTCAACAACATGAAAGGAAAAAGAAAAAAAGAAAAAAAAAAGAAGAACAAATTCTTAGAAATTTTAAACAAAATCAGTAATATAGCTTGCCTTAGGTAGGACACTTAAGAGTTGATAGCATCTTTCCTTTTGCATAACTAGTCTCATACTATAGAATCTCTATTGACCGGTTATAATTTCTAATGACCATAATACTAAGTGGTGACTCCTCGAACAAGATATTTTCTCATAAAAGAACAAGATGCCAAATATATGTTCTTTTTTTCAATCAAGAGATAATTTTTAAATGGTCTCCATGATGTCCAAGTGTTACATTACTAACAAACCTAGTCCATCACTATATTTAAGAAAGTTGGAAAATAATTATTGTAAATGTCACTGATGTTATTTATTCATTGATAAAATTACATATAATAATTTACTGATGGATATATTGATAAAAAAAATTAAAATACTAATGGAATTAAATATGATGATTTACCGATGGACATGCTAATGAAAGATAAAAATACTGTTGGAATTACATACAGTTTTCATATCAATGATAGGTTAAATTTATTGATGAATATACCGACATGTAATTTTTTGGCATGATTTGTCTGTCGGTGACCCTATTAGTGAATTTATTATTGACGGACTCACAAACAAAAAATAAACTACTGACGAGAGTTTTTTCAATAGATATTTGTTGTTTATGATTACATCGGTAAAAAAATATATCAATAGAATGTGAGTTTAAAAATACCAAAAAAAAATTCCATTGGTAACATTGTTAAATCTAGAAATGAAATCAAGATGACTTTTAAAAAAAATATTAAGATGAAAACATATTGAATTGACTCAAGTCAATTGGGGTTAACTTTTTAAATCCGCAATCCAGGTCATAAGGTCACAATAAACCCAAATAAAAAAAATTATGAAGCTTAATTCATAATAAACTCATTATTAAATGATGAAATTGAAAAAAATTCAATCTAAAAAATGGCATAATAAAATGACCTATGTCTACTTCGGTTAACTTACTCATGACTCGAGTTATAAGACTATCGTAATTTCATAGAAAAAAATCTTTTACAAATGACAATAAGTAATCCATAATAAAAAAATATTAAAGATGTTGAATGATGAAACTTAAAAAAAAAATTACCTAAAAAACACTCAAGTCAATTGAGTTAACTCATTAAACTCGTGACATGGATCATGAAACTAAGGTAACCATAAAAAAGCATGTAATAATAAATTATGAAGTCTAATAAAAAAATTAACCAAGTATTGAAAGATGAAATTAGTGCAAAAACATAGATTTGTTTAAGAAAAAAAAAAGAAACATTATTTGGCCAGAATGGGGTTGAAACATTCCAAGTGGAATTTGGGCAAAATTTCCAGAATAGACTGAGATTTTGAGTGAGATGAAATCTATTTTAGTTTATTTTGTTTTTTAACTGGAATAGGATATACTGACCAATCTGGATGGAACAACATGAAATTGACAATCTTGGTCTATAAGGTTTATCAAACGTTTTAGCCATATTATAACTCATGAACAATAAATATTCTTCTTTATTCGATCTCTTGTCTTGTAAACTTGTAAGTGCTAGATTTGATCACTTTTAAAGTGTTTAGATAGAGGATGATCATACATTCACATTAATATTTCCTTCTCTAAAATTCATGAAATTTATGGTTGAATGTAAAAGACTTGACACCTACAAAGCAATTTATTTTGGTGGAATTTGTAGACTCTCTAATAATAAAGTCATTGACTTTTAGTAAGTGATTGCAATAAATAAGATAATGAACTTTAAACTCTAAAAATAAGAGTGTTTGTTCTTAGTTGTATATGATAATAATATTTTCTTCTCTAAAATTCTTTGAAAATAAACATATAAATGTATAGAGAATAGAAAAAAAATATGAACCCTTTACCTAGGGTGGTTCATAAGGTATCCATAGCTTTTAAGCTTTGTCATATTGCTTGAATGGATGGATTAGAACACCATCTCCTCTTAATACCATTAATGAGGGATAAATATCACTTACACAATGTTAATATTAATGAAAATATAATAAACTTGATTTTTATGTACTTATGAATGTAGGGGAATGATCATTCTTAAATGAAAGAAGACACGTAGGAAAGTGAGTCAGATATAAGAAAAGGTATCTAAGCCTATTTTTTTAGATAGATAAGAAATTAAATTTTAAGGATAAAATTTTATTAAAAGGGGAGAATTTAAAACCTCTTAAAAAAAGGATAATAAATAAATAACACAAAGGAATAATAATAATGAATGTGAAGTATGTTATTGTGGACGAAGACTAATGAATATGAGGTCTATCATCGTGAATAAATACTAGTAATTAAAACAAATCTATTATGGATGTGGATCAATAAATGTGAATTACT